CTGGTATGAACGTAAAATTAGATTCGAATAGGCGCCAATAACGTTGGCGGAGATAGTGCATTAAAAAAAAAAAAAAAACCTAACCTAACCTAACCTTACCGCCCTAAGTCTTTCAAAGGCGTATATAGGACAGTGCAGGACCAGATGCGGAACAGTCTCCTTTTCTTCAGGATGACAGTTGCACGCTGGGTTCTCCTTACACCTGAATCGGTGCAGGTATTCGGAGAAACCACCGTGTCCCGTCATGATTTGTGTGAGAACGCCTGTTGGCCGCACCTGTCTTATAATACGGAAGGCCACAATAGCATCCGGAAGAAACGTCTTCGTCACCGAGGCGGTCTCGCCCGACACGTATCTCCGATTCCACTCACCGAGCGAATCCATACGGATCTGTCGCCTGATGAATGAAATCGGACACAGGTCGTAGTCTGACCTCCTCCGCAACCCCAGTGCTGCCTCCTTAGCCAGCTCATCCGCCCGCTCATTCCCCGGCAGCCCTGCGTGGGCCTTGAGCCAGAACAAGGCGACAGCTTTGCTCTGATTCGATGCCAAAGCCAAATTGGTCCTTGCGCGTACTGCCAGGGGATGGAGCGAGCCATGACTTGTCAGCGACTGCAGTGCGGACATTGAGTCGCTATACAAACCATAGCTCGTCTCATTGCGTTGGAGGATTACGTCGGTTGCCTTGCAAATGGCCAGAAGTTCCGCCTGGTAGACAGTGCAATACTTGGCAAGGCTAAGCTTGAGATTCTGGGTTTCGCCTTCATTATCCCAAATGGATAATGCGGCTCCAACTTTCCCCTCAATCTTGCTGCCGTCAGTGAATATTCTCACTGTCTGCACATTGTAGCTGTCCACTAGCTGTTGGTCTGCCAGGCACACGAACCCTAGATCCATTTGTTCGGCAGGGTGGGAAGTTTCCGCAAATCTCACCACCCTCTCAATCTCTCTATCTCCCGGCACAAACCGGGATGACCCTCCCCTTGCTTCATACAATGCGGCTGCCTCTTGTATGCGCAAGTCCAGAGGAAGTATTCCGGAGAGTGCTAGCGCTGAGTTTAGAGAGACCGTGCAGTAAGACTTGCAGAGCTTCTGGACGAATCCTCGCTGGATGCTGCCTAGCTTCTTCCGTATCCCCAGCTTTTTTGTAGCGGGAGCCCAGGCACTGGCTGCATAAGTAACGATTGGCTCTATTGTAGCTATGTAGATGGTGTGTATTATGTCCCGGTGTAGACCCCAGCTGACCCTAGCTGCCCGCGCCAACTGTTTGTAGATGTCGGCGACGTTTTTTGATACGTGTTCTACATGTTTAAAAGTCAGTCTGTCATCTATTATGAGACCCAGCAGTTTCATACTCCGCACCATGGTGATATTTATCCCTGCCATGTTCAGAATTGGTGTGTCGTACTTAAGCCTGTTTGTGATTACCATTGCGCAGGTCTTGTGTGGTGCAAATTTTAGTTTGTTTTTGACTCCCCAGTTCTGAACATGCGCGAGGGCGGCGTTAGTGTCTCTAGAGACTTCAGCTGCCGTGTCTCCGTCCACAACCAGAACAATGTCATCTGCAAAGGCCTGTGCGTATTTCCCCTTCTTCTCCAGTTCTTGCAATAGTGGATCCAGCAAGAGGTTCCACGAGGTTCCAGGAACTGGATGTGGAAATAGTGAGAGAAAACATAGGTCTAATTATGAAAAGCAAAAACAGAGATATATTTTTAATCTATTGCGTGAATATAGCTGAAAAGGTGATAAAAAAGAATGAAATAGATTAAAAGACCATGTTTTGTATTATATTGTATTATAAGAACTAAAGCATGGGACATCTGATAATTAAGAAGAGTAATAATAAGCAAGCATTAGACTAAGGATAGCCAAATGTAGTATGAAACAAATAAATAGATAAAAAGAATAAGAACTATGTAATAGAATAAGTCCAAACAATAATGTAATAGAGTAAGAAACAATAGCATTAAGAAATCGAAATATTGTATAAGTATGAAAATAAACAAAACTAAGCAACCTTCCTTATTACCCCAAAACTAATAAAAAGAATAAAAATAAGGCAAAAGTAGAAGTAGGGAAGTGGGAGTCCCACCCGCTAAGAAAGTGAAAGTAGATGTACAAAAGAAAGATACAGTATGAAGCGTAAAAGTGCGAGAGGTATATAAGCGAGAACTGGAATGAAAGTGAAACTAGATAAAAATAGGCGCCAATACCGTTGGCGGTGTAGTCAGGAAAAAAAATAAAATAAAATCAAAAAAAAAAAACCTTACCTAACCGAGTCTCGCGCCAGCCACCGCTGCGGTCGGACGTGTGTTGCTCTGCGATGCGATCGGAAAAATATCTCTTTCTTTGCACTGTTAAATTTTACGTGTTTGTGGACAATTTGTGAACGTGAGTTATCGTTAGCAAAAATTCGATTTATATTAGTGTTAGTGTTTTTTTTTTATAAAGTGATTCTCATAGTGATTGTTTTTAAGTGAAGTGGGTAAACGATTTTGGAAATCTAAGCTTTGTTAAGCTTTCGATTCGAAGAAACCGACCCGGGATTTTCACTCAGTTGGACGGCCCGCGCCGAGACGCTTTCAAACCTTTTCTTGACCTCGAAAATTTTTATTGGCTTTTCTGACGGACGGCACTAAACTCACCAAATATTTCTTGGTTTCCGCTACGTCTGACTTGTAGATTAGGCACAGGACCTAATTGAATATCCAATTTTAGTCATTTATTGATCATTTTTATATTAATATTTATTGACCAAAATTTTAATTTTATTCGACCCCCCTTTACAGGGTACTATATCTTACTATTTATTAATTTTTTCTTGGTGTGTTTACAACCCCTTTATACAGGGAAAAATTTTAATTTTCGACACTATCCCCTCTTTACAGGGATAATATACTTACACTTAGAGCCGGGTGCTCCCTTTACCTGGATCCCTCCCTGCTATTATGTACGACTCAACCCCCGAGTCGCCGGCCCCTCCCAATCCAGTCCGGTGTCTGTTTCCCGAACCCGGATGGCAGCCAAATCAGCACCGCGGTCCAGTCCCGCCGAATTGTGTCCAGCGCGGCAAACCGCGAGAGCGTAGGCCGTCGGGGGTCGCGATTTCTCCGAAATCCCCTCAGCCCGCTCCAGCATTCGAGAACCGGACGGAAGAGGCGCGATACTGGTTAAAACGGGCCAAGTGTCAACTGGGTCTAGCGAGAAATCTCAAGACTGACAAAGACCCAAGTGACAACGGCCATCGATCGCCTCTACCAATTGGTGAAGGAGTCAGAACACCGGAGGCTCCCTGAGGTCGGAGAGGGTTTGGTGGCTTTAGCACCGGAAAATACCAGTGAAAGGGAGGACGCGCTTATATTAAAAATAGCGGAACACAGCGAGTTGCTCAAAACAACCGCTGTACAAATAGGGGAGCTAAGGTTGGCCCTGGAGGACCAGCGGGGGATGAATGCGGCGCCTGTCGCCGAGGGACAAAACGGCCAGGAGCTTCTCGCAGAAATGCAGGAGCTCAAGTCAGCGACCCGGGAGATCGGAAGACAGGTCTCCGAGATAAGAGCAGAAGTGCCCTCCTACGCGGAGGTCCTGTCAAAGCCGAAAAGTGCAGGGCGAGTCGCGAGACCAAAGCACACAGTCGTTGTGTCCTCCGGCGATACCATGGAGACTAGCGCCGATGTTGTGGGTCGGGTCCGGCGGGCGCTGAACGCGAAGGTGAGCGGCCTTCAGCTTGACAAAGTCCGAAAAGTCAAGGACCAGAGGGTGGTGCTGAGCTGTGGCAGCAAGGAGGAGCTGGAGAAAATGATGGCACGGCTCGGAGCCGACGGGCAGTTGCGGGTGGAAAACGCGCGTCAGCGAAATCCACTCGTAATTGTCCGGGACCTTCTGGCCTACAACACTGACGAGGACATAAAGGCCGCTCTTAAGACGCAGAACGCGCGCCTGCTGGAGAGTCTGTCAGCCGAGGAGTCAGCGGTGACCATCAAGTACCGGAGGAAGGCGCGGAACTCTCTCGAGAACCACGTCGTCCTCCAGGTCTCACCTCGGATGTGGGAGAGGCTGACCTCGGCTGGCAGAATCTACGTCGACCTGCAGCACGTCAAAGTGTTCGACCAGTCTCCGCTGGTCCAGTGCAGTCGGTGTCTGGCCTACGGACATGGGCGGAAAAGTTGCACAGAGCAGGTGGACCTGTGCAACCATTGCGGGGGACCACACCTCCAGGCGGATTGCCCTAGATCCGCCGAAGGGGGTGCTCCTACCTGCATAAACTGCCACAGAAATGGTGAAACCAACACGGGTCACTCAATTTTCGCCCAGGATTGCCCTGTCCGTAGAAAGTGGGACGCCTTGGCCCGAGCGGCCGTAAGTTATTGCTGAGGTGGATTCTGGCGTCCCACAGGCAGTCACAAATAGTTGATGATTATTGTACGAGATTGTGTATTGTGACTAGGGTTGCCACCCGTACTTTATAATAAAATTTTGTACGTTATTTAAGGTTATTGTACTCTATACTTTATAAGAATAATAAAGTACACGAAAATACGTTATTTTTGTAAACTTAATTTCTAATAAAGTCGGTAAGTATTTTTTTGGTAAACTTATCGATTCGATATCAATATTTATCGATTTATGTTGAATCGATAACTCGCCAGCGCCACTTAAACAATTTCTAGTAAAGATGCAATTGTTTAGTATTTCAATGCAATTGTTTAGTAAAGATACTAATTTAATACAAACTGCAAAAAGCAATAAAAATTATATTTTTAAATATAATACTAAATAAGAATAAATTGTACTTTATTTTTGTACTATGCATGTACTTTTTTTCTTACCTATAATCGTCATTGTACTTACCAAAGAAAAAGGTGGCAACCCTAATTGTGACGTCCAAGTGACGTCACGTTTTTTTAGTGTCAAACGCTGCTGTCTGACGCTAAATAAGTATGCACTTATTTCGTAAAAAAATTATGTAAAAATACTAAAATTACGTTGGTCATAAAATCAATTAATGAAAGTGTGATTATTTTTTATTATATTTTTGTATTGAATAGTCGAAATATTTCTTGATTTAGGCTAGTACCCAATCATCATCTATAATTCCGGCGGTTTAACTAATTTTGAAACGGAAAGTGCTGATTTTAGTTATTTCAGGTTGGCAACATTGCTCCTATCATTCATTCATTCATTCACTCATGTCCTGTCAATTGATTGAATCATTCATATTCCCCATCATTCTCAATTCGTCGTTGTTCGTTGTTGTATGCCTGTACGGTCGTAATAACATAATTTGCTTGGGTCCGGTGTGGCATCGGTGTGGTGTTTTAACTGTGGTGTTGTGAGCTTAGCGTGGTATTATTTTTTGATGAAATCAAAATTACATTTGGTGGATATATAGTTTTGTTTTAAATTAGTGTTTATTGTGAGTCACGTTAGTAATAAAGCCTCATAAACAATTATGGAATTGGTGAGTAAACTTCACGATTATTTAGTTTGACAGATCCTAATATCAGATACTCTTCCCATTTGGATGTTAATAACCTAGAAAAGTGGTGTATTGTCTTTTGTATTCATTACATCTTCTTTTGGACGGAAATCACCACAGTAGAAGCAAGTAAATAGGTTAGGGAGAACTGTAGGTGATGCTTATTCAGATAGACAGCTAATATTATTATATTGTTCTGTATATTTTATTTGTCCCGAATTCTTCATGGTTTTATCATAAGCTAAATTTACTTGTAAATGAATAAGCCCATGCCCGTGGTTTCGCCCTCGTTACTTTTGTATAAAACATATGTGTTATTTCAGACTAGGTGACGATTTGTAGTTGTACGGTATTAAATTCGAAACTATTTACTGTTTTGGACAAATCATAAACACCAACAAAATATTTCTATGAATTATATAAGAATACAAGTTTGTCATTACCTGCAGTTAGGTTAAACTATAAATATATAATTTGCTAAGTAGCATAATAAGCATGTTGTTTCTATGTTCTACCCATAAGTTACTACTTGAGAGTTAGTTATTTTATATACACTGCTGACAATGTAGAAAACATTATTTTACCATTTAACCCGGTTGAAATTCATCCCCTAAATTTGTTCATACAAAAGTGGTCTCTAAACATTGGAAATAAGATCTATTTAATGTAGTTTGTGGAGAGCAGTCACTGGTGACCGGTCTCATGAGACAATTGAGTAACTTTGTGTCGAGGACTTATGTATACTAAGCTAGCTGTAATAAGGTTTGTAACTTGTGCAGTGGTAATGGCAGAGTTACTGGGCTTTCCGCAGAATACCATGGTATGCTTTGTATTATCAAGGGATGTCATGGTACCTATACCTAGGAATGCCACGGTATGCCAAGGGATGCCACAGTATACCAAAAGGTTTAACAGTACCTATATTACGAGTGGTTGTGGCTTACCTGCTACTTGGTTTACATACAACAGCGTAACATTTGTCCCAGAAGGGGTACCAGTACCACTTCTGCCAGGTGCACATTACAGCACTTAATGCTACTTGGTTCCTATTTAATTTAAGAATGAAGTAAGTAATGATCGTATCAAGATTGTATGGTAGTAGTAACTAAAGATGTGCCAACTACTCTCCGACTAGTCGGTTATGCCGACTATTCGGCCGCTATTGTAGTTGGCGGCTAGTCGGCTATATACTTTGTAATATTTCTCATTAATATATACTATATTAGGGGAATTGAAATGAAATTAAACCTTAATTATTCATTATTACTTGGATTTTGTAATCAATCTTACACATTTCCACAAGCAAAGCAAAACACTCTTTTATTCACTAATAATTTTCTAAAAAATACTAAAAGGCTTAAAAAAATACTGGCTTTAAAAGAAGACACACATAAATCTATAATATCAACAAAACAAAATTAGTACCTTTTTAAAATTGGTAATAATTAACAAACAAAATAATAATTATCTTCATCACTTAAATAAACATTTATTCATTCTTAATCAAATAAAAAAGTAAGTATTTTTTAAATACCAACTAATTAAAAAAATAAAGTTCAATATTTTAAACACAAACTGTTTCAAGAAAATAAAAAAGAAACAAACAGGAACTTATATGATTAACCGGACACAACCCAAAATATCATATTTAATAAAAAATAATTACTGGTAGATTAGGATGTAAGAAGACTAAAGCTTCTGCTCTCTCTGGCAGCAATCTATTTCTTTTTGTTTTGAACTTGCAATACAGCAAAGGTATACTTTGGCAATTCGCGACATTTTAGAATCGGCCTAGCCAACTAGTCGGCCTCTTTACAGCCGACTAGTCGGCTAGTCGGTCAAAGTGGTAGTTGGCACATCTCTAGTAGTAACTAATGATGATGACTGCCTCACTAATGATCGTGTGATCGTAGTAACGAGTAATGCGTCTATTATGTTTTTTAATTAGGATTTTTAAATACTACAATTTGATAAGGGTCTGGAGTCGACCTGATGATGGAGCCGACAGACAGTCGAGAGAACTCCTCAGCGGTTTATATTAACTACCTTGTGTTTGGGCTTGATTAATTTGTGGGACTTTACACCTATATAGATAGAGTGGGACTGTCATTAAGGGTCTGATGATGTAGAAGTGTAACTGTTGAGAACTCTTGAACGGTTTATAGTAACTAACTTGTGTTTGGGCTTGTATAATTTGTATTGATTAGAACTTTGCACTTATGTAGATTATAATATAAGTAACAAAACGAGTATATGTAGGTTTTTAGCACATGTACTTAACATTCACATTCGCAGTTCTGAATCATCCGGCAATAAGGCTTTTTTTAGATATTGTACAGGGTTTCATTCAATCGTGTCTTCTTCACCCTCAGTAAAGTATGTCGGTATTTCTAGTTGCAGGGCGGTAACCCCGGAGCGCTGCAGCCGCCGCTGCCCCCCGGCATGATGGCGCCACCCGCCGCGCCCGGCATGGCTATGCCCGGCCTGGCGGGGCTGCCCACGCTGGCCGGGCTACCCGGGTTGGCGGCCGGCTTACCCGGGCTGGCAGCCAGCCTGCCCGCCGGCCTACCCGGCCTGCCTGGCGGACTGCCCGGTGAGTAGTGCCCGCAACGCAGGAGGCGGGCAGCGCGGCCTCGGAGTCTCTCCCGAACCCATTCGTTGTGTCGATTCGAAACCGTCCTCAGTGATCAGTGTTTCTGCTTTCTGTTTCAGGCTAGATATAAGTTAGGTTATTGCTATACGCTAGGGCGCGCCGGTGACGCGTCGGCTGCGGCTGCGGCGCCGGCTGCTCCTCGCCGCTCTCACAATGTACCTACTTCATTATACCGCATTGTTCCCCGCGTGCCCAGGGCGCGCGCCCCGCGCTCGGGCGACCCGGTCGGCGCGGCCGCCCGGCCCGCCCGGCCCGCCCGGCCGCCCGGACCGCCCGGGCGCGGGGCGCGCGCGGCGTGCCAGCGATGTGTGCCTGCGCGTGTGCCTGCGTCCACTACTGTTTGCCACTTGGACGCAATGGACACTGACTAATCGAGTTTCGCATTTACAGGTGGCTTCCCTTCGGCGCCCATCTACGACTTGCAGCAGGTCGGAGATGTGTTCACAGGTGAGTGGTCGCGCACGAGGCGGGCCGAGCGCGCCGGGGCCGTGGTACAGGTCCATGTGGTTGCAGGTCCGGGGGCGAAGTGCTCGACGCTGCCCGCCATACTGGGCGGCTCGCTGCCGCGGCTGTCGTCGGAGCAGGGCGAGGCGGTGGCGCGCGCCAAGAAGTACGCCATGGAGCAGAGCATCAAGATGGTGCTGATGAAGCAAACACTGGCGCACCAACAACAACAGATGGCGTCCCAGCGGACGCAGGTCCAGAGGCAACAGGCGCTCGCACTCATGTGCAGGTACGTGTATACACACACACACACACACACACACACACACACACACACACACACACACACACACACACACACACACACACATACATACATACGTTTAGTATGATGACAGCGATATGTTAGAGGCTCCCGCTATTGGCTGGTCGAGCCTGTGATTTGTTGTGCTGAAAAGATCTGAATAAAGCTTGATAATGAATATGGATACTTACGTAATTCGTGTAATTTTAATGTGCCGTATTTTTCATCAGAGTATATGTGGGCTCGATATCATTTGAGTTGAAGGAGGACACGATACGGCAGGCATTCCTCCCGTTCGGGCCGATCAAGTCGATCAACATGTCGTGGGACCCTGTCACACAGAAGCACAAAGGTTTCGCCTTCGTGGAGTACGAGATCCCCGAAGCGGCGCAGCTCAGCCTCGAACAGATGAACGGAGTCATGCTGGGCGGCAGGTGATTAAAGCTTACTAATCATTTATTTCGGTTGCATACATGGGTTAGAAAAAATATGGATTTTAACATTACAGTAAGGTCCTCCACCTTTTGCTGTTACGGCATACAAATGATGTACAAGTATTTCCTAGTTCAAAGTAACTACCAAATTACATCAAAAAATATAATAATAAAGAATATTAATGTCAAGAAAAGATGAATTTAAAGGTTGTCTACGTGTCAATTAGTCAATAAATGATCACATCAAAGTTGTTCCTAGTATAATACCACCAGTAAGTACTACCTACTTATCCCATTTATTCTGAGAGCGTGCAGTAACCGAGCGTCCCCCGCAGGAACATCAAGGTAGTGGGGCGGCCGTCCAACATGCCGCAGGCGCAGGCTGTCATCGACGAGATCCAGGAGGAAGCCAAGCAGTACAACCGGATCTATGTCGCATCCATCCACCCGGAGCTCACCGAAGATGATATTAAAAAGTAAGGGATTTTTGACGACTGTTGTAAACATGGGCGTTGTATCACTGTATGTGATAACATCACGCCTTATATCCCCGAATGTAACACCCACTTTTCACTAAGTTTAGACCCTATTGCCCTATACCGGGCACGACTCCATATTCCATGCTACTACTGAGAATTTTTAAAAACCTAGTATTACTTTGCCTGACCCGGGAATTGAATCCCTTGCCCGGCAGTCGCACTTGCGACCAGTCTGCCAAGGAGGCAGTCATTGTATCATAGAAACTTAAAATTGATTTTAAACTATCTTTTCGTAGTGTTTTCGAAGCTTTCGGGCCGATCACATATTGCAAACTGGCGTACGGCGCGTCCGCGCACAAGCACAAAGGGTACGGGTTCATAGAGTACGCCACTCTGCCCGCCGCGCTCGAGGCCATCGCGTCCATGAACCTGTTCGACCTCGGCGGACAATACCTCCGCGTCGGACGCGCCATCACTCCGCCCAACGCGCTGGCCGGGCCGCCGCAGCCGTCCGCCATGCCCACGGCCGCCGCCGTCGCCGCCGCCGCCGCCACCGCCAAGATACAGGCCATGGACGCCGTCGCCAGCAACGCCGTCGCGCTCGGACTCACCAAGCTCAACGCGCTCGGCGTCTCGCCCGCCGCCGCGCTGCCGTCGCTGGCCGCCGCGCTGCCCGCCGCGCTGCCGGGCGCGCTGGCGGCGCTGCCCGCGCTGCCCGCGCTGCCGGCGCTGCCCGCGCTGCCGGCGCTGCCCGCGGCGCCGCTGCCGCCGCCGGGCGTGGTGATCCCGGCGGCGGCGGGCGAGGCGGGCCAGCAGGCGCGCTGCAGCGCAAGCTGCTGGACTCGTCGCCCGACACGCTGCAGCAGCAGGAGTCGCTGAGCATCTCGGGCCAGTCGGCGCGCCACCTCGTCATGCAGCGCCTCATGCGGCGCCGCGCCAGTCGGACCGTCCTACTCAGCAACATGGTGGAGGCCGAGGAGGTGGACGAGGCGCTGCACCACGAGATACAGGAGGAGTGCTCCAAGTGGGGCCGGGTCGAGAGGCTCGTCATATACAACGAGAGCCAGAACGAGGACGACGACCCCGCGCACGCCAACGTCAAGATCTTCGTACAGTTCGCCGAGCCCGACGGTGAGCGCAGACATCCATATTTATTCAGTCAGAAAGAGGCACACCAATGACCTTCACATTGATATTTAACAGCTATACCTATGTATCTTAGTCTACAATTTATTTACAAAATATTCTAAGAAGGAACTTCGGAACCCAATGTTCTAAAAAATGTATTGAAGATAACCGCTCACGGTAAAACTGAGTGAATAGAGATCGAAAAATCTTTCGATGATTTATTGATACTTGTATAACGAAATCCTTCATAGTATCTATTCACCTCTCTTTTGTACAATCTCTCAGTTCCTATTCACCCATTTTACGGTACTCAAGTGTACGTCATTATGAACCATTGTCCACAGAGGCCATCGCGGCGGCGGGCGCGCTGAACGGGCGCTACTTCGGCGGGCGCACGGTCCGCGCCGCGCTGTACGACCAGGACTTGTTCGACCACGGGGACCTCTCCGGCTAGCTACGCCCGCCTCGCTAGCGCGGGGGCTTATACATAACTTCTAATGTGATAATTCTTTCGATTAAATACTGCTCATTCGTACGCCTCGCTTATTCTTTTTTCGATTTGAAAAACTCGCTATTTGATTAATTAAATAGTGTAACGCGGTACACCGATTTAGGTTTGTGTCGAACGCACGCGCGCTACTCTAGTGGCAACACGCCACCTCACCACTATTTCCCTTCCCCCGCTTCCCCGCCACTGACCGCTCGACGCTAGAACAACGAGTCCCGCGCCGGAGCCGCGACGCACGCCCATATTTGTGCCGCGAATATTTCTTTGAGTTTTTTATATTATTGTGCAACTTTGTTTTATATTTAGTTTATTCCCAATATATACAGTTTACAGTCATTCGTGTGTCGAACGTTAAGTATTTCACGCCCCTGAGAACCCACCACCAAGAACAATCTTCATCAACTATATTACAGTGACGCCCAACTTGCGGCCACGAACGAACTGTGCATAAAAACTCAAAGTTACAACAAGTTCTAGTGTTCCTATCGTGCAAACACATATTGTGAACTCTCTCCGATAGTGCAATCACACGAAAACTATTGTAAAACCAGTGCAAATACGAAAGTGAAAACACTTGGGCGAGTCCATTTTCCGCGTGCCGCCGGTTGCGTCTGTAGGTATATACCTACCGACTCGTTGAAGCTACCATCCTCAAAATCATCACCCGTGCTCTTCGAGCGAGTAACAGTTGGAATTGCCTGTTATCATGCCGCCGAAGAGAAGAACTGGAAGAGATGAGGGATCGGATACCGACACAGATGTCGAGATAAACAGAACCGTGATTTCGTCCCCGAATATTACAATGTCGGAGGATATGTTAAATGCCCTTGTCTCCAACATCACTAGGAGTCAAATGGAAGCAAACAGAGTTCTGATTGAGAGTATTTTGGCGGGAAACAAAAACCCGTTGATTACGTCACCGCCGCGCGTCGAAGTCGCCGACGCACACACGCATGCGCCGCGCGCAGGAAACTTCGCGAAATGCACGGCGCGATTTAACGGATCATCGAGGAACGCGGATGAGCTCGAAGCATTTATCGAGGCCATCGAAGTCTACCGCGACTGCACCAACGTCAGCGACGAGCACGCGCTGCGCGGCCTCCCGATGCTGCTGGTGGGCGAGGCCGCCGTCTGGTGGCAAGGAGTGAAGCCGTCGGTCACGTCGTGGACCGACGCCCTACAACGACTTCGAGGGATGTTTGGAGTGCCGCGACCCGGTTATAAAATACTTCGAGACATTTTCGCTACCGAACAAAATAGTGAACGGGCCGACGTATTTATTTGTAAAGTGCGCGCTTTATTATCAAAATTACCGTACGTAGTACCGGAGATAATGAAGTTGGACATTGTATACGGATTGTTAGATCGTAGGATTAGAAAACGCGTGTGTCGTGATTCCTTCGACGGGCTGGAGCAACTCATCACCAAAGTCAGGTTAGTCGAGGAGTCACTGGCGGAGGTAAGTTCCCCCACTCATAATAATAATACAAACACTGTTGATTCACGCGCTGCGCGTAACCGTTCTGACACAAACCCGAATCCTACCTTTTCAAATACCGTCGCCTTGCCTACAAATTCGAAGTTGACATGCAGCGCAAAATCCGTAGTAAGACCATGTGATGTGGCAGCGGTAGGTCAGGCGTCCGCGTCTAACGTAGATAACAATAACGACATCCGTAAACGTACCCGAGCGAAGTGTTCGTTTTGCAAATTTTTCGGACATACGGTTGATGACTGTCGCAAAAAGAATGATAAGACTGATTCTTCTAATAATAACACAGCTCAGTTACGTTGCTACGGATGCGGTCAGTTAGAAGTAGTGCGCTCAAAATGCGATAAGTGCAAAAGTACAGCCGACTCAAGTAAAGTAGATTTTTGCGGTACTTACATTGTAGGCGTGAGTGATAATGATACACAACCGCTTATAAGTATTGAGGTCGTTGACCTTAAGGGTGTGGCCATACTCGACACGGGGGCCACACATTCTATCGCGAGCCCTACGCTGCACGCTTTGCTCGTTAAAGCTGGCGTGATGTTTAGGACGGTCGTACGTACCGTAGGTCTTGCCGACGGGTCTCAGCAGAAACGTACCGCGCTTGAGTGTGACGTCGACGTCATATTAGGAAAACGCGTGATACCCACTACGTTTATGGTGCTACCGAATGCACAAACGAGGACGCTGTTAGGTAGGAATTTTATTATGAAAGCGAATATCCTGTTGGATTTACCACAGTGCAGCTGGCGTTTTAACGACGAGTCGAGTTGGCATCTGTTTGCCGCCAGCCCCGCTTTACCTACCCCTGATAGCATGGAGCCGACCGCGCTGACAGTTGACCAGAGGGCAAAGTTAACTGCTTCTCTGTCGGATATAACTAAGCGCTCCTCAAAGGAAGAACATTCAACCGATTACACCCGGCTTCGATTAAAGTCTGACGCGAGCCGAGGACGGTATCGTTTGGCATCTACTCTCGTAGCACCTTCAATGCAGGGGGAGGGCCCGGAGGAACGGCCCACCATCATGAGTTTTACTCCGTACTTACGACGTACGTCAAACGCGCCGTTTGACGCTCGTAAAGTCCGTGAAAAGAACCGAGTTAGCGAGAAACGTAGCTCTGGAAAGAAACGTCACCCTGCGCCGGAATATTCCGCAGGAGCCGGAGATCTGCTTTTAAAAACCCAGGGCAGCGACGATGCGCCCCTTGGACAGACTCCGAGGTCTAAATCACGTCGTAAACTAGATAGTGGCGAGAATTCGGGTAAGTACCGCGTCCCACAGTCGACTCCTTTCGTGGGCGATGTACTGATTCCGCCTGTTATCGAAAAGCGTAGGCGCGGAAAACCCAAGCGATTTCTAGACTGACCAAGACGCGAGGGCGCTATGTCTAGGTCAGAGGGGGAGGATGTAACGCGGTACACCGATTTAGGTTTGTGTCGAACGCACGCGCGCTACTCTAGTGGCAACACGCCACCTCACCACTATTTCCCTTCCCCCGCTTCCCCGCCACTGACCGCTCGACGCTAGAACAACGAGTCCCGCGCCGGAGCCGCGACGCACGCCCATATTTGTGCCGCGAATATTTCTTTGAGTTTTTTATATTATTGTGCAACTTTGTTTTATATTTAGTTTATTCCCAATATATACAGTTTACAGTCATTCGTGTGTCGAACGTTATTTCACGCCCCTGAGAACCCACCACCAAGAACAATCTTCATCAACTATATTACAATAGTGAATTATAACTATTCGAAGTGTTTCTGGTCATGCCTCAGAGATCAACAAGTGCTTTCATACATCCAGACTTTTGTTTTTTGCTGATGACATGCAACTATCGCCTACTATCTCGACACCTGACGATGGATTGGCACTCCAGACGAATTTACATCGGCTTGAAAAATATTGTCGACTTAATAATAAACTAGAACTCAACCCGTCTAAGTGTCCCGTAGTCACTTACTATAGAAAGCTTGCTGTCCTTACCATTAATTATACTCTGGCGGGTCAGCCCTTACCGAGGTGCACTACTATCTGTCACCTAGGCGTCCATCAAGTCAGTAAATTAGTCTTCGACACATCGATGCAATTGTCAGAAAAGCCTCTAAATTGCTTGGATTTATAATGCGTCTTTCAAAAAACTTCTGATGCATAAACCCTCTAACATACTATATTGCACTTATGTCAAGAGCCAGCTGGAGTATGCGTCTCATATATATAATCCAAGAGATCAGAAATATATGGGTCGCATGGAAACGCGTATTCAAAAACGTTTTATGTAATATCTGATTTCACCAAAGTTACCATATCAGTCTTGTTCCCGGCCCGTTATCTTGAACTCTGTAGAGTCAGAGACATCAATCTGTTACCACTGGCAGATCGGCGCAATATTGCAGGTTGTTTATTCTTGTTGAAAGTTTTCAATGGTAATATGGATAGTCCTGAATTATTTCAATTTAATCCATCTTTACACATGTCCCGTTCCTCCATCTAACTACAAGCAGAAACTTCCAACTATATTTGTAAGGATTTATTTCTAATGGCGAGGACTTCTAATTGGTTCACCGATACCTACCTGTGCTTATGTTGTACTTATTGTTATTTATAATTGTTTATTTTTTATTACCTGTATAAGTCTTCCATAAATATAAATAAATAAATTATAAATGAAGATCGATGTAACAAACCACCAACAACATCAACAGCATAAAAGTGCCCACTGCTGACCAAAGGCCTCTTCTCGCACGGAGGTTTGATGCGAGTTGGCGATTTCAAACTTATAATCACAAATTATAAGTCCAGGGGGCTTACTCTTGAATCCAATTCCGATCGATCGACATTGACATTGCATCCGTATTGTGTGGATATTGCATGAACTAAATGGTATTGAGTTTGGGTTTATATTCCGTACTCTGAATGTTCTTTTAACAGCTACGATTGTTGTTGTATAGTGTTGACATTGAATAATTATTGACATTTTATTGGATTGAATTTGCATTAACATTGAGATTGGTTCAAGAGTAGGTAAGCGCCCTGGTTTTCTCATGATGGTTTCCTTCACCGTTTGTCAGTGGTGTCTAAATACTGTTAAAAAGTACATATAACTCGGAAAAAGTCACATTGGTACTTGCTTTTGGTAGGTTTCGAACCCGCACCCTCGTTCATGAGAAGCGAGCGTCTTAGCCTCCGGGCCACCACGACATTTTTATTAACAAAAACCAAGCACAATTACTTATTAATTTCGAAAAGTTGACTTCACGCTCGATAGATGGCGTAGGGATCGAACAGATCGCGCTATAGTTTACTATTTGGACGCCATTTGTACGTAGTCTACAAATATTTGGACAAATGAAGCGATTACGCAATGTCAAGTGTAATACCACCTTTACGTACCTTTTGCACATTTTCAAAGTGAAATAACTTTTGAACTCCAAGTTCTAAAAGTATGTAATTTTTTTCTAAACTTCATAATAAACATATCTGTCGTTCAGATCATTTACTTGGTGAAAACCTCCATACAAACCTGCAATTCTCCTTTAGTTAGGGTCCACCAATTTAATTATTATTGTATCCATTATTCACTGAACCAGAGCTA